TTTAAAAAGAACAACTTTTAGCTGTTCAAAACAATCTATAATAACGTTTCCATTTATTTGATCTGCTCCAACTGCTTTATTTTTTTTTAACGATTTGAAGGCTCTCTCAAACTCTTCAAACAATAATTCAGAAGACAACTCAACTGAACCAATGCAATTATCAATGGGTACTAAAAAATCAGTAAATAAAGATTTGGTCTTAGGGATTTTTTTAGAAAGTGTTGGACCTATATCGATAAAAAATTTGTTAAATTTTTGAGCTATAGTTCATGGTTCGTATAAACCTTTGTTATCGACTCTAACCATTTGTGGCAGAAAACCTGAGCATGATTTTTGTTTTCCAATAATTTCTTTCATTATTTGCCATGTGCGTTTTGTGTCATTTTTAAATGTATTGAGTAATTGGGAGTAATAATTTTTTTTTAGATTTTTGCGAATCTTTTCAAATAGATTTTTTTAGTCCTTGTAAATTTTTTCGTTTTTAGGTGTTTTTGTTTTCAAAAAATTTATATATAGTATTTGTTTAATTTTGGACGATTTTTTAAAGCCTTTAGTGATTTTAGTAGTTATTTTATTTTCAATGATTGGGAAATTAGTATCGTATACAGAAAAAAATGTTTTGAAAAAAGACTCATAGATATTGTTAGCATAATCATTAAAATTTATGTTATTCCAGTGCAGTAATGAAAGTTGATTTTTGAATAAATTAGGGTTAGCCTCATTATAAATGCGTTTTCGAATTACTTTTTATGCGGTTAAAGTTTTTTCAGAGTTTGTATTATCTAATTTTAGGAATATAGGGAAATGATCTGATATATCGGTTCGCAAAATACCTACTTTTAAATCATTGTTGAAAATATCTGAAGTTATTATATTATCTATTAGAGTTGCTGAATTTATCGTTACTCTTGTAGGTTTGTTTATTAAAGATATTGAACCCGTTTCAAAAATTTCATCATAAAAATTTTTAACTTTAAGGGTATCATTATAAAGAAAACAATTCATGTTTAAATCTCCAATTATAAATTTTTTTTAATGATTTGTTGTAAAAACATGCAGGTTTTCGCTCACGCCATCAGGTGACCGATAACAACAGCTTGGGGGTTGTCCATGAATTACGTCACGCTATGAGGGGGAGGGGGTTGGTAGTTTGTGACGACTCATTCAAAACTCGCTTCTTAAGTGTTACGATTTTTGACGAGAGGGGGGTGGAGTTCGAAAACGGTCAAAAATGGCGTGACATTATTTATGGACGACCCCTTCGTAAAAAAAATTTTTTGTTGCAGTTAGTAATTTTTGCAGTTGCAATTTCTTTATCGCAGTCAGAAACGCTTAAACCATGCCTAAAACAATGCTCAAAATTTTCGTGAACATAAATTAAAACTCCACCACCGCGCTTATTTGTTTTCCTTTCCATTGAAATTGTATTAAAATGAGGTAGATAAAAATTATTTAGCTCTTCTAAAGAAGTCCAAGTTTCCGTTAAACAAATTATATTAAAAAATGTTTAGTTTCTTCTAATAAATCTAAAAGTTTTTCAAAATTGTTATTTAGGCTTCTTATATTGAGGTGGAGAATTAACATTTGACTATTATTTCTTTCATGCTCATTCTTAAAAAGAAACTCTTCAAGGCTAGGAAATTAATATGAACAATCTGAATGTTTATTGTGATAAATATTGTTATCAGTGTAAGTTTTCATTTAACGTAGAGTAATTTATTTTTTGAAATTTAAAAACACGAGATTCTAAGTTTCTATTTGTAGCCATGATTAATATATTTTATTTAAGATTTCTTTTTAGGAAAGCCTATAAAATTATTCGATAAAACTTCTTTTAAAAGAAGTTTTAATATAAACAATTTTGTCATGCCTTACCGTAACACTTTCACCATTTAATCGCCTTTCTTTTACTTCAGCAAACAATTTTTTTCGAATAGCGACGGTTTCTCGACAAAAATCTTCGTTCACGAACGTATTTGTGTCTTTGAGTCAATACAATTCCTTCAATATTCTTATTTTGTCTTTATATTTCTGAAGATTTAATATTATAGTCCTTAGTCTTCCATCGTTTTTTCGTCCAGTGCGGTAAGCTCTCTCAATTTTGACATCTTTTAGTCCAAGTTTTTCGGTGACGAGTGTTTGGACTTTTTTTTCAGTATCCCCCATGATTTTTTATCGTTTTCGTAAATTCCATCAATCCTAAGATTGTTTCGGCGTGATCGATCTTCTAAGTTTCGTTGTTTTTCATTTAATACATTATCTATTTTTGTATGTTCCATTTGTTTATCTAGATATTTGTTGTTAGTAATTATTTTTTCGTCGATAAGTCCTTCATTAAAATTAAGGCTTATCTTTATATCTTCTAATTCTTTTGTTAATTTTTTCATACAATTTGCATTTCCATCAATATTTTTCTCTACTTTTTCAAATCTGTCGTTTATTATTTTGATGTTAGCCAATAATATCGAGAACTGCTTTTTCTTGCTTTTGAAACATTTCTCCCGTTTCCTTTTTAAATTCTTTGAACATTTCTTTTCAAAGTTTCTTTATTTCTGGAAGTGAGACATATTATTAAGTTAAAGTTTTTTATTAAGGATACGTCTTTATTTCTAATAAATAAAAAGTTTTTTTTTTTCGCCATGAGGTAAAAAGTGCGTCCGTTCTTGTTGAAAGCTTGAGTTGTTTTTTGAGCACTGAATGAAATGGGAAAAAATGACATGTACTTGCAACTTAAGCTAAAAACATTAGAGTTTTAACTTTTAAATCAAAAAATAATCTTGCTTAGATTTTAGTAAAATTTTCGATCGAATATTTGGAGTAATCGAGTCAAAAAAAATATGTTCTTAGGTATTTAAGTTGTAGACTATAAGTTATAGTCTTGCATCAAAGTTTAGTTTAGAAATATTTAACAGCTCTTAAATTATCATCTGCTAAAATCATAGACTTTTTCCTCAATAGCTGCCATTATTGATGTTTATATGAATTTTTTTTTTAATTAATTTGCACTATTTTTAAGATCTCATAGAAAATATATAATTTTATTGCATGCAATACCAAATTACTTACTTACGTTTAACTGCATTATAATGCATTTATTGTCCTTTTATTTTTGTCGTTGCCATGCCATTTAAAAACTTTTTCAAGGATTTTGTTTATTTATATTATATTGATATTTTTAATTCCTGATTTAACTATGGCTATGATATTGCACAACACACGCGCGTTACGCAATTTATATCAGGTATAAAATTGCAACTTGTTATGATTGTCTGCAAGATATTTCATTGTCATCCATTTCTGAAACTTATCTACCATACGCATTAAGTCACAAAAATAAAAATTTTGAGTTAATTCCATTCCGAAATTCTAAATACTGACACCTATTTAAATGTTTGAGCAATTGGAAGTTTTTGTCCTGAAAATAGACCAAGAAAATCTTTTTCTGTTGATGTGTAACAGTTCTCTCATATCAATTTAATAAGATTTGGCGCTTTATTACAAATTTCTAAGTTTAGACCTGCAGATGGTAATAGTATCAGCGTATAAGGGGTCATCCATAAATTACATCACGCTATCAATGAAGGAGGAGGAGGGGGGCTGTAGTTTTGCAACGACTTATACGAAAATTGTTCCGTTGCAACGAGGGGGAAGGGGTATGGAATGGTCAAAAAAAAGCGTGACGTAATTTGAGAACTTATTGCAAATTGATTAATTTAACCGATATAAACCGATGCAAACACCTAACTCTTTGATTGAAACATCTCTAGATTCAAAGTGATCGTCCGCCTTTTGGAATCTTTGGTACGCAAAACTTTATTTTTTCTTATCGATCAGTCGTTTCACGTTTAAGGTGGTACTATCCTGCAAATTTTATTTTTCCAAAATAAGACCTTTTTCTTATAATTTTTTGTTAGGAGCTCAATATAAAATACAACACTTTTTTAAACAATTGTCACACGAACATAAATAACTTGAATAATATTTGAGATAAACACTTTAAACTTTACAAACATATTGATATACGATTGATAGGGGCCCTTCCTTTAAATAAAAAGAGTATATAGTTTTTGAGATATTCTAGTTTGGAAATATTTGAAAAAAATTATTCTGCTTATTAAATAAAAAAATGCCGTTAACTAAAAAAATTTGTAATTAAAAGACATTTAAACCGGCCAAGTATGATTAAACACCTTTTAATATTTTGTTGTCAAAATAACCTTATTACAATACCAATTAAAAGATTGTGAAAATAGGGCCAGCACATAAACAGATGTGGTTGCTAGGGGTTTGAAAATAGCCTTGTTGCTTTTAAACGCAAATTTTAGGATTTTTTGATATTCTTAGAATAAAAGTTAAAAGGTTTTTGTGATTTAGGATGTTCTGTTTGACTTGGAAGAAACTGTTTGAATTTGAAGAGAGAAAAAAATTTTTTTTTGCTCATTTTAAAAGGGTAGTACCACCTTAACTGTTTTATTTCAATAATTTGCCTAGTATACCAAATCAATTAAAGCACTAATTTTAATTTCTAACATAGATAAATGTGGTTTTAGAATAACTTTAGTTCGTGGTCTATGTTATTTTTAGTTTTTTAATTTATTTTTTACAGCCCAAGCGTTTAACAAGACTTGAAAACGAAAATGACATAATATATAACCACTAATTTAATCTTGATAGATAACTATCATTTTTTATTTTATCTTAGAATATTTCGAAAAACTATAAACAAAACATCTATCGCTTCACAACTTTTTCTTCGCAATATAAAATGATAAAGCAATTAGATCATTAAAACATTACACATGTTTTCTACAATAAATAGATCACTATATGAAAAAACCTAAAAGCTCTTTGACATTTTGTTTTAAAAGCAAAAAAAAAAAAAGCATAAAAAGCACTCAGCTTTTTTTAATCAAAGTACAAAACATCTTTTATGAGCAGTTTAAGTCTATACTTAAAAGAATATAACTCTTTTAAGTAGGAAAAAAAAAAACGCCGAGAAGTTATTATGTAATAAAAATGTTAGCTAATCAAGTAAGCCATATAAATTTAAAACTTCCTTGGATAGGGTTCAGGTCTTTTAGCGTAAGCTGATGGTACAGTGCCACGTGCTGGTTGCCCTTAATATATAAAAAATATATATCAAAATCACATTAAATCTTGCTAGATAATTTATTAATACTAATTTACATTACTTATTTAAAATGTTATATTTACATTACTTTTTATACACTCATTTTTATTCACTATTACATTACTTATTTTTATTAACTTGATACACACATAGATATGCTTAAATACCCTTTAAAAAATCTTGATGTACGGGATATTGAAAGAATTATTTCATGAAAATTAATTCTAATTTAAAAATAAACTAGATTATTGCACAATTTTAAATATTTAAGTGAGGAATTAATATAACTTATTTATATTTAAATAAAACACAAAAGCTCTCTACTTCAATTTTGCTTTCGTTACTTACCACTGAACTTAAGTAGCCAATCCTATGCCAATACTCGAGTAATGCATCGTCCATTATTCGTCGAATATTTTTAGGGGAAAAGGGTAGAATTGAGGGATATTTAGCGGATATTTAAAATTATAACTTTTATGACACATTAATAATTTACCATTTAAATTATTATTTGTATAATATACATGTAGAAAAATAGCCATATGTACAGGAATTTTATGTAAAAACAGTCGCAATTAAATAATTCTCAACGTATATATGTATACTTTATACACATAAATCTTACAAAGTTATAAAGCTTTATATTTTTTGGAGTTGATTTCTCTATGCAAACATTATGTTGCATATATACAGATTTGCTAGAAAAGGTCCATAAAACCGAAACCCATCAGAGAAAAATATTTTATTTGGTAACGATATATAAAAAGCATCATTGAAATATTTTGTGGATTTCAGCTTTTTGGACATGTAATAAATAGATTAAATTTACACCTATAACTTAAAAAAAAGGAGATTATAAATGTACAACTCACAATATTATCTACAGAAAAAAAAAAAAAAAAATTAATATTAAGTACACACAAATGGGTTATTAAACAGCGATTAACTATTACATAAACCCACATTTTATAGTTGTATATAACTATATAGTGCATTTTTATGAAGAAATTAAGTACGTTATTTTTTATAGAGTGTAAAGGGGGAAAGGATTGATATAAAAAAAGGTCGCTAAGAGTAGGACCCTTTGGAAAGGCGTGGCGGATGAAATCTCCACACAGGATAACCAACTAAAATAACGAAACAAATATAAAAAAAACAAAATCAGGAGATTTTTTAACCCAAACAGAAAACAAAAATAAATGATTCTTAGAAAATGCAAGATACCCATGAAAATGATAATACGGCCACTTCAAGATAATAAACTTACCATGTCTAACATCTCGTCCTCCATAGGGTGTATACAATGATTCCATAGGTGATTGCGTGTATCCACCTTGAAGATGGGGGTAAGCTCCAGTCATACCTGATATACCACCAAGAGCAGCACTTGGATAAGCAGTAGAAAGACTATCAGGGTGAATGTAAATGACAGGTTGAGCATATGGTGATGGATATGGAGGTACAGACATACCAGGATAACCAGGTATTGCAGGATTTCCACCTCTGTAACGACTGCCAAGTAAGCCAGCATCTAATTTAAGAGATAGTAGGATTTAAAAAACATGTTCCAAAATCTCTCTAGATTTTTTATTCAATATCATTTTTTAAGAAGTTTGTTCTTAAAAAATGATATTGAATTAAAAACTTTAGAAACCATATAGAAAATTTAAGCAGGCTTGTAAGATGCAGATTTTTCAAAATCTATGTATAATTTTTATAATGATATTGAATTACCTTTGAAAGACATACTTCACTTTGATTTTGAAACGCTTATATAGAATTTAGGAGGAAAAAATAGTAAGACAAAAATGTTCCTTAAATCATTTATAAAAACTTAATGGATGTATAAACTCATCTCTTTGTTAATTTCGAGTTCTCAAGACATACTTGATCGATTAAGAAAATTTTTAACTATTTTCTGGCTGAAATATATCCAGTATCTTAGTTGCCTGAAATTAAGTCATAAATGACCCACATTTTTGGTGAGCGCCACTAGTTAAAATAGTTTTACTTATTTTCTTATTTGGTCTTGATAATTGAAAACATTTCTTATAAGAAAAAATACCTTTCATCTCCTCCTGCTGCTGTTTACTAAGAGCACGTTTTGTTTCAAGCTAATAAAAAAACATAACAAACATCAGTTTTATAAAACATATTAGGTTTAACACAACTTTTCCATTCTACATTTCTTTTTCATTTTATAATACATATCTTAGATATTTTTAACACAACTTTTTAATTTCTTTTTGAAATATTTGCTCTTTAACCCTTAAAAATGTTATATCAAAAAATCATTTAAATTATTATATAGTGTCATTTTTATGTCACACAAACATAAAGATAAAAAAATAAATTAACTAACTCTTCTTCCGGCTATTTCGTGGAATTTATCTTTAACAATTTTGTCAACAACACTTTCATTAGCAAATTCGATGAAGCAAAAACCTGTTTTAGAATAAATAACAATTATATATATATATATATATATATATATATATATATATATATATATATATATATATTTTTTTTTAACATCTTCACTTCCAACAAGGCTGCAAGCAACCACTATAAGAGTTGGAAGTTACTGGAAGAGAAAAGACTAAATCTGTAGAGCAAGATAACGATTGACTGATGACTTAAAAGATTGCAAATTATATGAATCAGGAAAGCAAGATGAAGGAAGCGAATTCCAAAGAACTGATGTTCGAGGAAAAAAACTAGAAGAATAAGAGTTTTTGAAGCACTTAGGAACAGTCACAGAAAAAGGATGAGACTTAATTGAATGGCGAGTAACACGAGAATGAATTTTAGTAGATGGCACAAGGGACGCTAGCTCTTTAGAGCAGTGCCCATTATAGTATTTGTAGAAAAGAGAAAGAGAAGCAACATTACGACGATGTGACAAAGGTTGGAGATTGGCTGCCAGAGCAGGTCCAACTATGTTTACAATTCGTTTTTGCACCTTGTCTAAAAGAGAAAGAGCATCGTTAGAAGATCCGCCCCAGATGTGGCAACAGTATTTCATACAGGGACGGATTTGAGATTTATAGAGATAGAGAATAGAATCTGGAGTAAGAAAGTGTCGAGCTCGATAAAGAGATGCAACCTTAGCAGATGCTAATTTTGCAATGGATTTGATATACGGTTTAAAAGAAAGATCAGAAGTAAGAGTTAATCCTAGAAGATGAATGGTAGATGACTCATCTAGTACATTACCATTCATAAAAATAGGAAGATCTAAATTATTACGATAACGATTGGCCGAATAAAATTGAGTTTTATCTGAATTAAAGTTCACCAGCCACTGTGAGCCCCAAGCTGTAGCAGAAGTGAGATCCTTTTCAAGCTCAGATACCCCCTCCAAGCAATCAGAGAGTGTAGGCTTCTTATCATGACAAGAGTAAATGGTAGTGTCGTCAGCGAATAATGCCACCTTAGATGTGAGAATATCTGGAAGATCGTTAATGTAAATTAAAAAGAGTATAGGGCCGAGGATTGAACCTTGAGGAACCCCTGAAGTTACAGGATGTGAAGAAGAGTGTTGTCCATCGAGGACAACTTTTATACTACGATTGGAAAGAAAGGACTCAATAATCTTAAAGACGTTACCAGCTACACCATAAGAAGAAAGCTTATGGAGAAGACCAGCATGCCAAACTTTATCAAAAGCTTTAGAAATGTCAAGTGCGATAGCCTTAACCTCTCCACCTCTATCTAATGCACGGTAAAACCTATCGGTTATTACTGTTAGCACATCAGCTGTAGAACGAGAAGACCGAAATCCATATTGATGATCAGAAAGTAAGGAAGAAGACTAATGGGACGGTAGTTAGACGAATCAGATTGCTCTCCGGAATTTTTGAAAATAGGGATAACAGATGCTGCTTTCCAGCATGATGGAAAACAAGACTCTGATAAGCACTTGTTAAATAGTTAAGAAAGTATGGATGAAAGCTCCGGAGAACACCTCTGCAAGACTACAACAGGAATGTTGTCAGGACCACAAGCTGTTGAAGAGTCTAAGCAGGAAATTACTTTAGATACAGAAGCTGAAGTGATGCGAATGTCAAGCAAGGGATCAACCTGTTTGACGGCTATGTCAGGTAAAACGCAACTAGTGAAATCAAGAGATGATATTGATGAAAAGTTCTTAGCAAATAATTCAGCTTTGTCTTTAGGTGAGGTGACAAAGTCTGAACCATACAAGAGAGAAGGAATAACAGATTTGCCCTTATTATTGATACTGTTAAAGATTCTCCAGAAGTCTCGAGAGCCTAATTTTTGTGATGAGATACGAGATTTAATGACCTGGGAAAAGCGAGCTTTGGCGTCAGACAAAACTTTTTTACAATGGTTTCTGGCGATAGTGAACAGATGTCTGTTTTCTGGAGAATTGTTTTGCTGATAGATATGGAAGTAACGGTTTCGATTAGAAATTGCTGCAGCGCAATGTGAGGAAAACCAAGGAGAAGAGTGAGGCTTGACCTGGAATCGTCGAGAGGGAATAAAAGATTCCATGCCAGCCTGAATCCACGAAGTTATGTAAGAAGCACATTTGTCAGCAGGAAGACGAAAGATTTCTACCCAAGGGCCATCACGAAGAAAATCACGGAAAGAGTCCCAGTCAGCTTTAAGGTAGTTGTATGTGGTACGATGATAGGGGGATTCTGATGAAGTAGAAGAATTTGATAATAGTTTTAGAGAGATCAAACCGTGATCAGAAGTACCTAAGGGTGAATGTGGAGAAATTAGGCACTGACTAGGATCCAAACAAGACATAAGTCGAGTAGAGAAGGTAAATGATTAGGGTTGTCTGGAAAACGAGTTGGAAAGTTGACTATTTGAGTTAGAGATTGAGAAAGGCAAAAGTTGAGGGCCTTAACGCCAGCAGAGTCACTGACACTAGAGCCAAGCCAATCGGTGTGATGGGCATTAAAGTCACCAACAACGACGATATTGGCTGATGGATAAAGAGAGAGTATATATATATATATGTATATATATATATATATGTATATATATATATATATGTATATATATATATATATGTATATATGTATATATATATATATATATATATATATATATATATATATATATATATATATATATATATATATATCACTACACTAAAGCTGTTGTAAGTATATATCAAGTAGTTATAACCTTTTTTTAAATTAAACTTAGCCATATTGAAAATGAAAAAAAAAATGGAGTAAAACAGTCATAAAACTGTTGTTAAAAAACAACTTAACTTGCAGGTCTTTTTTAATTTTTCTTTTAATTAAAATTTTTTGAAGTTAAGTTCAATCTTACTTGTTAAACTATGTATCTTACATATAGACTTAAATATAGTAATAGTATGTATTGTAGAATTTATTTATTAATTTTGATTATTTAAAAATATATTATTAATAAAAAATAAGTGAATTAAGGATTCCAAAATAGTGGAACAAAAAAGATAAAAACCATAAAAAAGAAAATAAAAAAAAAAACTTGTTGATTAAAAAATTTTTTCTAATGAGGTATACTACTTTCTGATAATAATACCTATTTGGTTTTATTTTTTAAAATAAATTGATTAATATTTTTATGTTTCTATTAGAATTTTAATTTATTTTGTTTTCATGTTTTCTTTTGGTGGTATGGTAAGTTTTTTATTTTAATTTTTTTTTTTATTTATTTTTATTTTTGTTTGTTCAGTAATTCTATACTGTTTATATCATAAACATTGGTGCTTTACAAATTTGGGGTTGGTTGGGTTTTGGCTATTTGTAGTGAGTCCTTTTTTACTGCAGTATGGAATAGGCGTAAGTCGCGGGGTAAAGCATAAGTGGCAATGACGTTTGTCTGACGGGATAAACTAGTTATAAATGCTGATCCTCATCGAAACGCCAGTAATAATAGACGCGACTCTGAGGAGATGTTTATTACTTATCACTACACTAATTATGTTTACACATTAGCATTAATGTTTTTTTTCCATTATTAGTCCTTTCATTGTCGTTAGCATATTTTTAATTTGTTGAATAGTTTTTTGTTTTACAAATTTTTGACTGGTTATGTATTTCTTGTATATTTTAGTTCATATTGGTAATTATAAAACAATTTTTTTTTTATTTATTTATATATATATATTTTATTATTATTTGTTTTTATTTTTTATTTTTTATTTTTTATTATTTTTTTTTTTTTTGTTTTCTTTTTATTGTTATTATGGTTGAGTACTGTTTTGGTTGTATAACTTGTCTTATTTATTTTTAAATATTCCTCTATTAATCTTTATTTTTATCTTGACAACTGTCAAAAATGCTTTGTCTAATAAATAATTCTCCTTTATTCTAATGTACTTCATTTCTTCCCTCAGGCGTTCACTGCTCGTGTGTGACCATTCGGCGAATTTTATATGCCAAAGTTTTTAAATAAACTATGTATCTTACATATAGACTTAAATATAGTAATAGTATGTATTGTAGAATGAATATATTTATTAATTTTGATTATTTAAAAATATATTATTAATAAAAAATAAGTGAATTGAGGATTCCAAAATAGTGGAACAAAAAAGATAAAAACCATAAAAAAGAAAATTAAAAAAAAAAACTTTGATTGATTCTCACTCAACCTAAAATATTGTTTGCAAAATTATTAAAAAATATTTGTAAGGTAATTTAATTAAGGCTTTTTTAAGAAAAAAAGTCAGATTAATGTTGTTCGATTAAGTTTAAATAAAAATTTATTTTACTAATGAAAAACAAAATGTTCAACATTAATGATTTATGTGCTCATTCAAGTGATTCCAAATGCGACTTTTAAAAGAAGCATTTTGAATTTAAAGAAATTGTAATTTTGAAATTTATATTGAAAAAAAAACATGATTCAAATTGCAATTGTTAAAATTGTTTTTTGATGCATTTACATTTTGAATCATAAAGAAAACATGCTTCAAAATGCAACAATGACTTAGTGATAAAACATGTCATCTACTTGAGCAATCTCACAAGAAACACACACGTAAACAGAAAATTTTAGACTTTTGGGTATAAGCAACACTTACTAACCTAATAAAAAATATAAAAGCATGCTCATTTTAAGAATTTGAGAGAAAACTATTACTTGATTTCATATAAAGCTTTGATGAAAACAAAACTGTTTAATCAAACAGTAATATTTGCATTTTGTTATATATATATATATATATATATATATATATATATATATATATATATATATATATATATATATATATATATATATATATATATATATATATATATATATATATATATATATATACATATATATCAAGCCTTCCCAGAAAGTGTGCAGTTTTTTGCCTTGTATGACCAAACGTGAGTATTTTATTTTATACAAATTGGTCACGGCCGTTTGCAAGTTTTATTATATTAATCATAAAAAATATATTAATGCGTAAAAACTAAGTT